TCGACTTGAAAATGACCGTCGAGCGGTCGAAACGTCGTTGCTTTTTAACGTTAACTTTTTTAGTGAAATCTGTTTCTAAAAATTTGTTGATTCGAATTTTGGACACTTTGCTGAAACACAGTAAAGTAAATTCACACCTACAAAACACGAATTAGACTAAAGCAACATCTGTGAAAATGATAGTTTCACTGCACCCTCAAGGTTTTACAAATACACCGATGAGAAAAAAAAAACAAATTTTATCGAGCCGTTACATATCTCAAGCAGTTCGCTCCATGAAGCCTGGCATAAAGGAAAATAACACTTTTTTTGTCTGAAATTAAAAACGTCTGAAACTTTTTGCACGCAATAAATTTATGTCGCACCTGATTACACAAACAGTATGTTGGCTCATTAGGATCAATTGGAAATTCAGGGGTGGGTGAATCTTGGTTCTTGGATTTGCCCCTGAGAAAACAAAATAAAACAATCTTTACTTTAAGTTATTTGAAATAAATGAAATATTTGATTGAATATGGAGACCTGATGGTTAATGGATTGCAGAAAATTTGCCGTATTAACGGGGTGGCAGTATTAATGGAGTGGGGTCGAATTTCATGACTGGTCTAAACTGACTGATGTCTTTACGGGTATATCACAATTGCACTTCTAAACAACTTGTCTTCAATAAACATCTGGAATGCAGATATGGTTTAAAGAAAATTGAAAACTTCAATCAGTACACACAATATCAACAATTAAAAGATGAATATAACTGGTTTGAGTGGCCTTATAAACAGGGTAAAATTATAAAGGACAATACAGGTTGGGACTTCAGAATGTGACCATATAAGAAGGTGACTGTATTGACGAGGTCACCGTAAGGCGGATTTCCACTGTATTGAACTCAGGCTTCTTGACCTCATCTTACAAAAGAAACTGACTACACTGGTTTATGCATTACACATCACATGCATGGAAATAAGGTGGTTTTAATGCTATTTTCCACCCAGGGGAATAGACAGCACCCAGGGGGAGAGGAAAAATTCTTTG